GAACCCAGCTCGTGGGTTCACGATGGCGAAACCCAGGCTCATGGGTTCACGATGGCGAACCCAGGCTCGTGGATTCGTCGTGAACCCAGGCTCGTGGGTTCGTCGTGAACCCAGCTTGTGGGTTCCTCGTGAACCCGCGAGCTGGGTTCCTCTCGAACCCGCGAGTTGGGTTCGTCGTGAACCTCTCAAGCTAGGTACCTCGCGAACCTCTCGAGCTACGTTCCTCGCGCCTCTTGGGTTTGCCTGGAGGTAAAAGAAAAAAAAAGAAAAAAAAAAAAAAGCCTGGAGGAAGGAAAAGCCGGGGAAGAAGATGAGGGTATATCAGTAATTAAAGGTAAAAAATTTAACATGTCATCAATTTTGACCACATGGATTTTCCACGTAATTTAGTTTTAAAAAAAAATGAGTGTTTCCGTTAATTAACCTGCCACATCAGCTAAAATTTAACGGAAGGACTAAAAAGGGGCCGGATTTGTGAACAGTAAGGACTAAAAAGGGGATTTTTTCGATACAGGGACTAAAAAGGGGCTTTTTCCTATAGTAGAGGGACCAAAAAAGGTATTTAACCAACCCCATACTGTGTAAGAAACATCCCAAATACATTGATTTACTTGATTTTTTACATTTATTTGCTTGATTTACTTGATTTTCTATTTGAATATTGATTTGTATCTCATAAATAAATATCGTCACAAACCATTAATTTCAGAGACAGCTAGCAAAAGCAGTAGACATCTTCCCCATTTATCTGCTAAGAGCACTGACCCAGCAGTAGCTGGAATTTATTTTGACACAGCAGTAGCCTTCAACATTGATCCAGGTAATTCTATCTAAAAATTGATACTTTATATTTATATATTGAAATGCCTTATATTTATATTTGTACATTGAGACTTTGATTATTCTTTCACTTTTTAGTTATACAATTGAATTTAAAATATATCATGACATAAAATTTTAATTTGTATTTTATAAATATAGATGGATGCTATGAGAGGCATGCGTAGGAAGGCCATTGCTCATGTAATATGCTTAGTTGTTTATTGGTGGTTTCTTCGAAGTAGACCAAAAAAGAAGCTTCTTGATGATAATATAATTAATGAGAGAGAACGAGTTCGAGATGAAATAATGAACAAAATTGTGGGGAGTGATAGAAGCCGTTATATCATAGGGATGGGTCCTAAAGCTTTTTTACAATTCTGTGATATACTTGAAAGGGAGGGAGGTCTCCAACCCACAAGGAGAGCAACTATTGAGGAACAAGTAGCTAAAACTCTTTATATTCTAGCTAAAATTGCCAAAAACCGTTCAATCCAATTTTGGTTTTGACGTTCTGGAGAAACTACTAGGCGACATTTTCATAGTGTGTTGAGAGCTATAATAGCAGTTGAAGTAAAATTTATTAAACAACCAGATGGTTCACAAATCCCTGTAGAGATAATGTCAAGTAGTAGATTCTACCCATACTTTAAGGATTGTGTAGGTGCAATTGATGGAACACACATTCGTGTAAAAGTCTCACCCTTAGATGCCCCTAAATATCGTGGTAGAAAAGAGTATCCAACCCAAAATGTCTTAGCTGCTTGTACATTTGACTTAAAGTTCACCTATGTGTTAACAGGATGGGAAGGGATTGCCTCAGATTCGAGAATTATTAAGGATGCATTAAAAAGAGAAGATAAGCTTATCATTCCAGAGGGAAAATTTTACCTGGTTGATTCTGGGTTTATGCTTAAAAGTGGCCTTATAACTCCTTATAGAGGAGTTTGCTACCATCTCAAAGAATATTCAAATAATCCTCCTCAAAATGCTAAAGAATTATGTAATCTTAGGCATGCAGCCTTACGTAATGCTATTGAAAGAGCATTTGGTGTTTTGAAAAGAAGATTTGAGATTTTAAGGGGCGGAACAGAATCATTATATGGAGTGAGAACTCAAAATTTAATTATTTTAGCTTGCTGCATTATTCACATTTTCTTAATAGGTGTGGATCCTGATGAAGAGCTTATAGTTGAGGTAGATATGGAATTGAGAAATCAAGAAAATTTGCAACAAACTCGTACTTCAAGAGAGGAAGAAGAAGATGCCAGCAGGGGGGAAATGTTGAGAGATGTTATTGTTGTTGATATGTGGCACAATTACAAAAATTGCTAGTTTACTTTTTGGTTTTTTAGATTTTTCTTTTTGTAATTTTTTTTTTGTTTTTGAATTATTTACTTTTTATTTTTTAAATGTTATAAATAATAAATGTTCTTTATTATAAATTTTAATTGAATAAAGTTATCTAATAACTTTTTTTATTTAGGTATGGGTGGGAAGAAGAAAAATAGTAATATTGAAAATGCAAGTGAAGAAGGCAAATTAGTATGGACACCTATAATGGATGAGGCTCTTATAGATGCTTTCCTACATCAACATAATTTGGGCAATAGGGTAAATGGTTCCTTTACCACCAAAGCATATGAAAATATTGTTAATGAATTGAAAAAAAAAAACTTGGGAAGGAGGTTGACAAAGATGAAGCTAAAAATCGCATGAAAACTTTAAAGGCAAACCTTTCAAAATCCCATGATTTATTCAAAAACCTTAGTGGTTTTTCATGGAGCCATGTTACCAAGCTATGGAGTGCTGAGCCTGAAGTTTGGGATGCATTAATAAAGGTACAATTTTAATTTAAATTTATTTGCTATGATTTTGCTTGACTTAAATTAATTACTTTTATTTTAAAATGTTGATGATTTGTAGGTTAATAATGATGCTAAAGAGTGGATGACAAAACCAGTGTTGCATTATGATACATTTGTGATACTATTTGGAAATGATCGAGCTACAGGTGAAAAGTCAAAGACTGCAAAAGAATTAAAGAAAAAGCAATCATCCCAACATGATAATGAGCCTCAAAATACCATTGAGGAAATTGATCATATGGTGTCACAGAATCAGGTATCTTTGGATGGTTTTGGAACTAATGATGTTGATTTTGATCCTTTAATATGTCTTGGAGGTCCTTCAAATGTGCCAACTAGCTCAAAATAAAAAATAAAAATAAAGAAGTCACAAGAAATTGAAAATGAAGCAATGGGCATTCAAGAAGCTATCAACAATGTAGCTCGAGCTCTATTTGAAGGGAATTCACATCCTCCACTTTCAGAGGTTGAAGTTTGGAATATGTTGGAGGATTTGGGACTTAACTCAGATCAAATTACCACTACTTATTTATATCTGCTTGAGCATCCAGATAAATTAAGAGAAGTACTAAGATGTCCACTTGGGAGACGTCTGGATATTGTTATGAGGGTTGTTTTTGATACTTCTTAATCAGCAAGTTCTTGGGCACAATCCGTAGCTTTATTTTTTAAATTTGACTAATCTAATTTGCATCAATTGGAATTTATGTTTGAATAATTTTTTAGGGTTTGATTTTTATTAGTTATTTTATCTTATTGTTTATTGGTATCATTGAGACTATATTGTAATAAAATTATTTGCTTTTTATTTTTAAAATCATTTTTTATTGATTGTTTCATTTAATATTTATTTGTTAAAATTTTAATTTTATGTTTTTTTAATCAATAATTTTTTTCCTCTAATTTGCATTTTTTAATTTTTTAATCCAAAATCATATTATGACCCAAAAAAAACATATGGTAAGATACTAGGCTTCTCTTGTGCTTGGTTTCGGTGGATAATGGAGTGATTTAATGAATTGAACAAATTGACAGCAAGCAAAAATGGATAGGCAACCCCAAGGTTTTTAAAACCGGACCAGTCATTGAACCATTTTCAGATTCGGTTTTTGGTTTAATCGATTCAACCGGTTGAACCAATGAACCAGTCGATCCAAACCACAAGGAAGATTTGATGAGAAGAGCAAGCTGCAGGCATGGATTTTCTAATTTGGTGTTGATAATTTTGTAATTTTGTTAAAATTAAAGGTTAAAATGGGTATAAGAAAGGAATGGAAATGGTGAAATTGGAAAAAATTGAAAGAAGATTGCATGAGAAATTGAACCGATGATTTTTTCGGTTCCATCGGTTCTATCGATTTTTATCAGTTTTCATCGGTTTGATTGGTTTTGACTGATTTTTGATCGGTTTTAATCGGTTTTGACCTCAAACGATTTTCTTATGTAAACCGAACCGTTTTCATCACCGGATACCGATCCGACCATTTCAACTGATCGGTCTGATCCGATTTTAAAAACCTTGGGCAACCCCATTACAAGCTTAAAGGGTAAATTTATAAATTTAAAATTAATTTAAATCCTTCCCATCCTTCCCTTCCTTTTACCTTAATTATCCAAACATAAAATAATACAATCCTTCCCTTTCCTTCCCCTTCCTCATTTTTATTTATCCAAACAAAATTAACACAAATCATTTCCTTACATTTTCTTCCCTTCCCTTTCTTTTCCTCCCCCTCCATCTCCTTTTATTTTCCCCCATCCCCCTCCCTTCCCTTCCCTTTACTATTTTCTATCCAAAAGGAGTTGGGGATATCTGACTTCAATGGAATGGAATCTTTTCCATACTGGTTTAACAACTTGTCCTCCCTTCGACAACTTCATATTTGGAACTGCCCAAACAAGTTAAAGGAAAGATGCACCAAGGGAAGCGGTCCTAATTGGCACAAGATTTCGCACATTCCACACATCTATATAAATATCTAGATCATCCAATCCAAACACTGAGGCAAAGAGGTTTGTGTTTCTTTTTTCTCACAACTGCACTTGTACAAATTCCCGACACCAAAAAGTAAAATCTCTCTCCTCATCCCCTATCAATTAATTGGATTGATGCTGCTCCCTCCATCGCTGTTGGGTGCCACCAATTAGTGTTATCTCGTCAAAATTATTTTTTTTTTTCTCTCAAACCATATATAAATTCATGTTTTCTTTTTTCTCACTTTTGATTCATATTCTTATACTGCATGTAGATGTGATTAATTATGAGTGAAAAATCAATGAGTTGATGGAATGATGATTTCTAGAATTCTGAATTGAAATCCTATAAGCTTCAACGTTGTGGTAATTAATTCATTGCTCTTCACTTGATCAATTTAACTTATCTTACACATTTGAGGAGTGTGAGCACAAGCAGAATTTGATTCAACATGGAAATGAACTGCTGCATTTCTTGCTTTTTGAAATTACATTTGATATTCCAAAGATAGCATGGCAGGAGGAGAGGAAGGAAAGCAGCAGTGTTTGCCAAGCCAAAGACAATTCTGGTATGCTTACTAGAATTTTCGATGGGTTTAACATTTAAGCATTTTGGTTTTGCATTTTAGTATTAATCTTACCCACTTGGAAATTTGGATTGTGCAGTCTGTTCTTCAAGGGGCTCAGCTTTATTTAGTTAAGATTTGGGAGGATATTCAATGTCATTTCTTAATTGCTCTGCTAATTCTTTGAAAACCAACCAATTCACAGGATTGACGTGGATGATGTTCAAGGTCCCTCTGGAAGGACATGTCACCTGATTTGAGCCAAATTGGCATAAGTTTGCCTGCATTTCCTACAAGGTATATTTTAGTACAATTGATTCTAAGCTTAGATCATCAATAAAAAAATTATGATCTTAAAATTCACTATAAATGCATTTGCTTTTTCTGTACTGCTACTTTTGATTTTCATCTCCTAAGATGGCTGCTTAATTATTGCTATTTTCATCTCCTATTCTAAGATGGCTGTTTAATTATTGCTTAGGTTGTTTCAGCAACGCGTGAGTTTGATTCCAGTTTGTTGTCTCTTGTTTGTGCATAGCTGTCTTTTTTCAAATTATCACTACCCTTGGTCTTTCAAAAGAGGGATCCCAATGTAGGTATGCCACCATAAAAAATTAAGTTTATTTGATTCTTGTTGGTTAACCACCTTTTAAAAGTTTTTGATGTGTTCTCCTGAAGTAGAGGTTGCATAAAAATATTTTATGGTTGCAGCTTTACGGGCACCAACCAAACTATTTTGCATCTTATATTCAAGCTTCTTAAGAACCTGAGGTTTCAATCATAAAAAAAGAATATGAGGTTGTTCGAGATTCTCTGGTGTGGACTTGTATTCAAGCCTTTGTTTCATTTATGAAATTGCTTTTCTACACTTCTGCTTATAGATTTTAATACCGTGTCTGTACTCATGTACAATCATTTGTTTTTGCAGATTTTCTTCGTGCCGTCTGGTTGCTCGTTTGGTTCCCATAATCATATGGTACGTCACAAGAAGGAAATGACTAAATTCTTAGTTATGAGATTCATAAAACAGAGTGATGGCAATTAAGAGATTACATGTTTGATTTTGGATTTGTAGTTTTTCTTTTAAGAAAACTCAAATTTGCTCAGGAGAATGAGCTGTGACTAATGATTTCACCTCGGTTATGCAGGAATCTTTTTAACTTGTTTTACAGATAAACAGGTGTATGGCAACAATTAGGGTGTTGCTAAAATTGCTAACAGTGGCATCTTTGTTCAATGTTATGCTACCGACTCACACAAACCACAAGTAGAAAGGATTACAAGGACGCAAATCACTTCTTGTCATGTCCTTTTCCAATCGTAGTCATGAACACCTGTCTCCTATTGTCTTGTCCACAACTGATGGAAATACTAGTGTTTTGGATATTGATTCATAGATAGCATGAAATTAAGGTGTTAATTTTCATGCTTTCTAATAGACAGATCCAATAAATTTTTGTTGCAACACTTATATTATAATTCAACTCTGGCAACACGAGAAATGATACTCTAGTCCATAGTCAAACTCAGATAGATTTTGTTGTAAACAACATTGAAGCTACTTCTATGCTTCTTTGTGTCTTAAGATTTGCTCAAAAGAACCTTCAGTGATATGTCCATAACCAGAGTTTGCCACCAAGGATAATAAGAAACTTCATTCCATAGAAAGTCTCCCATCTCATGTTATAGTCATGCTTAACATCTTGCTTGTATTCTAGTGATTGCTGTTCGCTGATCCCCATACAATATACCACACATATGATTGTTTTCGAATGAAGTATTGTTGCAAAGAAAAGCAAAAGACCTGCTTAAGGAGTTTATTTCCAACAGTCAATTATAGCACATAGCTCCAAAAAATTTTTGAAAAACATTTTGCATATCAGATTATTTTTCAAATGAAGATTGAATCAACATATATCGATTCCAGATAAAGATGGATCTCAGTAATCACGACATCATCATCAGAAACAAGCCTTCCAACTTCAACTGTATTGTTGAGGGACCTCCCGTGCAAGCTTATCCATGAATTGCTCTGCATTGTTATGTTAACAGCAGATAGTAAACATTTCATGTAGATCATCATGATTTAACCACTATACAAAGCAACTTCAAGATCGAGACAGGAAAGACAATGAGAGTGACTACTGACCTGCAAGGAAAGAACTGAACGATTGGCAGATTGCTGCACAGAAGCAGGCGCACTGTTAGGAATGTTTTTGGCAACTTTTTCTAGCTCCTCTTGCTGTTTCTTTGCTGTAATCCTATCAGGTCAACAGTACTGATCAATAACCTTTTCCCATAACAGGCCCTTCTCAATCGCTTCTTTGACAGCTTCCTGAAAACCAATAGCAAACACCAAACAACTTCTAAACCCAAGTGATATTACTAAAATCATTATTGGAAAAAAAAATCCATAATACCAATTCTAAAATGGTTCAGCATAAATACATAACTCATTAAAGTATTCATTTGTCGTTCAAACTGATTAGACACATCGGTTCCTTGCTCCTCATTACATTGTTAATAGGATCTCTATTATATCATGTAATTAAATAAAGTGCTGACAGCCACACTGAGAAGTCTCACCAGAATGAGGCAAGATTTCATAAGTAGAAAGGGCACAATGGAAGAATCATGCCATTAATTCAGCTAACAGAAATTGAGATTTCAATAAAATAAAATAGTCTTCCTAATTTTACACAACTCATAATATTCCAATTATTTCAATAGCATTCTGTGCATATCTTTGCAGGTTTTTGATACAACTTTTCCCATTGGTTTTTTTATTTTATTTATTTTTTGTTTTTTATATAATTAATTTCTTCTACCCTGTGCATTTAGCCAGCAGTACAAGAGATCTGTCTCACAAGACACATGAAGCCCGCAGTTTTCTTTTTCTTTTTATTATCTTTGCTGGAATAACTAGCATAACCGGAGCATTTAAACTCTTGCATATTTGCAGCAAGAGATGGATATTCAAGAAAAGAAACACCAAACACTGTTCAATGTGATAGGAATACAAAAAAATCAACTTCGAGGATAAAATCTATTAACCATATTTCAAAAGCAACAGCATATACCTCCCATTCTTCTTGACTTTGAATTCCTTCATATGCCATCAGGAAGGGCTTTGCGAAGCAAGTGCATCACAAAGAGGAATTGACGGTTTATCATCAATATCTGGGTTTGTGCTCACACTCAATCTGCAATCCAACAGAGCAAAACCTCAACAAACTGATCAACTAGACCCCCAACCCCAGCTAAACTCAAAATATGAGGTAAAAAAAAAAATAATTGATAATACAATACCTACAAAACTATATTATAAGTTAAACTCAATGTAAGCCAAATCAAGCCAAATGGTCAGGTATGCGTCATCTAATTAAGATCTCTTGACCCACCTCTTTTTGAGTGAATATGGGTTTTCTTTTATTACTTTTCATTAAAAAATTTTACTTTATTTTTTCTTCCTGTCAGCAGAAATTTTTGCATTACACATGAATGAGAAAAAAAAATGATTTAAATAACCAAATATGCAAATTTTATTCTAGAGGAGTGCTAGGGGCACTCGCCTTCTGCACTCTCTGGCCAACACTTTCACTTTTATTGGGCCACGTTATTCTAATTGGTAAGAGGTTGCACTCAAAGCGTGAAACAAGCTTAAGTGGCCCAATGAAAGGTGAAGTGTTTGTTGGAGAGTGCAAGAGGCGAGTGCCCCTAGCACTGCTCTTTATTCTATCCAGCAATCCTCCATCAAACACACTGCTAATGACTTCAACTTTCTAGAAACATGCCAAAGGAAAATCCAACTATCAAATGGCAAACAACTACATAGCCCAACCATTCTCAATAACAAGTTAATGATTCACTTCATCAACTTCATAAGCTCTACATAGAATAGCAAGTTAGCAACAAAACACATTAGTAAAAATGATATACAACCTGAAGACATTTGAATGACAGAAATGATGCATTTTTCTGTTAAGACCTTTAAATGGAAGAAAAAAAAAACCTTTTTATGAAAAGAAAAGGAAAAAAAAAGGGAAGAGAAAAATGAATTTTGTATCATTCAATCCTGAAACAAACGATGAAAAAGAGATAATGAAACAGTTACCAGGCAATTAGTGTGGAAGGCATCCAAATAAGCATCGTCCAAAGGCGAATGCACGACCCTACTGCTTGCATCCAAAAACCCATCAACAATGCTGCTCACGTTCTCACGTCCAATCTCTTGTATCAACTTTTCTTCATCTGCTTCGTCACCAGCATATGGGTCGTCAGCTTCCTCAGAGTACTTAACATTGCTTCTGTCCACTACCATCCGTCTCTCTCCTCTCCCCCGTCCCTTCCCTCTTCTCCTTCTCCTTCCCCTTCCCCTTCCCCTTCCCCTTCCCCTTCCGCTCTTGCTCTCACCATCCCACCAGC